GATGTGTTACTAATTAGCAAAAAATAAATAAATCAAAACAAAAAAAAAAACCCCAAAAAACAAAAAACAAAAAAAAAGCGTACATATATTACTAAATTATACTCTAAAAGTTGTATTTGAAGTTTTTTTTATGGTTACAATTAATTTGAGATTAATATAGTTTTTTATATTGTTCAACTCGTGTAAGCTCAATAACTCAGCTAAATTGGAAAAATGTATGGATTTCGTGTCATACTTGATAGATAACAATGGTTTATTCCAGGTATATTAGCCATGAGGATGTTTTTCTCATCAGCGGATAGCATATTTAGTTAGAATTTTGTTAAGAATATACAGTGGCGTATCTAGAAGTCTGGAAATGAGGTGCTGATGAGGGGGCGCGAAGGCGAAGTGTGGGGGGTGGGGGGCTCGATGATCATTTTGACGGGCGCTACTGAGAATAGGCCCTATAAAGCCTTGGTATGCTTAAAACTTGTTTTTCAGGTCTTCGGTTTTGTAGAAACCCATATATGGTGTCTATAATTGATAATTTCACAATCAGACGTCCAAATAATCTTGTAATTTTGATTTTGTAATAGTCTGATATATTTACGTTAAAATTAAAAAGAGAAAATGCGGATCTTAATTTTTGGGTTTTAGGTCTTCGTTTTATAAACACCCATATATGATATGTATAAAACGAAGACCCTTGGTTATCTTGATATTTTTTATGTTATTCCGATGTAAAATTTCGGAATATTTTCATAAAGATAATTGAGAAAAAATGGCCGGGGATGTCTATAAAAAAAACCAACATTTATAACATTTACAAAATCGAAGACCAGTGATAATTTCACAAACAGACGTCCAAATAATATCGTAATTTTCATTTTGTCAAACTCTGATAACATTTTTTTAGTACAATCAAAGAGAGAAATGGGGTATTCGTTTTACGGGCCTTATATTTTAGGCCCACGGTTTTGTAGACATCCATATAGAGTGTATAAAAGGAAGACCCTTTTATTTATTAATGTTCCTCATAATAAAACCCATGAAATGATAAACGAACTACTTGGCAATAGTTTAATGATGATTTTGAAATACTTTAAATAAAAAAATTAAGAAATAATTGGGTGTTATCGTTTTTTTTTTAGGTTTTCAGTCTTCGTTTTGTAGACACCCATATAGGGTGACCCTTGATATTAACAGGCGTCCAAATAATATTGTAATTTTGATTTGTGACAGCCTCAGAGTATTAGGGCCTATCATTAAAAATAAAAGAGAAAAATAGGGCTCTTCGTTTTCTACGTACCGACTGTATGTTAATAATGTATGGACTCTGGAAGTTACACTTTGTTGAACTTCCTGATGATGACAAATTTAATGCCGACATGATGGTGTGCATATAAGCCTACTTTAGAGTAAGTATTATATCTTATCTGAGATTAATCAGTGGACCTTTCGGTTGTTGATACCGCTTTTTTATATTTATGTTACCTTGTGTAAACTGCTAATTTGCAGTTGTTGAATTACACTTGTTTTAACTGATCTCATAAATAAACTTGATATGTTGATAGTGAATGTTGAATAAACTGAAACTTAGCTTTTGAAAAGTACTTTCCATTGACGAGCATACAAACATCTAATGATTGTACTTGTTATACAAACAAAGCAAGCAAATCAAAACTACTGTAATAACAATCATCATATAGGCCTACTAATTTGAGTAAGGACCAAAAGTTTGTGACGTTTTACCCTGTAGACGTGTGCACCCGTCTAGTTCTGGAAAAAACATACATCGTAGACCATTATTTTAGGTTTCTCACCAATATTGGCATTTTTTTAAGTTCAATTTATGTCCATTAAAATATTGTAAAAATATTCGCTCACAGTTCTCTAATTAAAAGGTAATTTGTTGTTTTGGAAGCTTGAGTTCAATTTATGCCCATTAAAATATTGTAAAAATATATTTGACTCACAGTTCTCTATTTAAAAGGTAATTTGTTGTTTGGAAGCATCATATATGACTTGACGAGTAAATATTAAACCTGTAAATGCAATAATATTATTTTTGCCAAACCGAATTCACTGCAGGCGTCCCATACAACTCGGCTAACGCTCGAAGACAATAATAATATCGTCGCGAGCAAATGCGGTTTTGTGTGTGTGGAGTTTTGTACAGATATGGACAATAAAGAAGCTCGAAATGTAAGATTTTCGTTATTTATTCAACATAAATGATATTCAAATATCTCTGTCACCTCGACGCAGGGTTCCCGGAATGCCGCCCTCAGCGGCGTGTGCGAAGCAACTCAGACTCAGAAGTGGAACGTGAATTTCGATTTGGTTTTGTAGTCAGATTTTCGAGAAAAACTTCAGATACCCGTATTTCTCGATTGAGACGTCAATGGGAGCTGTAATTTCTATGGCAAGTAGATGGTGCTACCCTTAATTTGTATTAAGGGAATTTACGCCCACAAACCTTGTAGTTATTAATATTTTGGTTATAATAGAAAATTTTTATTTTTTGGTGACGCCGCATAGTTAGCATATAATACTTAAACAATTAAGGTACGTCTGCAACTGAATTATTCTTAGGCCCTAGTTAGTTTTTTTTTTTTTATTTTAATTTATTTCTTTCGAAAGTGTACTTTCTATCACATAAAATTGCACTGTCTACTTAGGCCTAGTCATATTATCCTTCATCGTCCCCTGCTAGGCCTATAC